CTCACCATGTAAGATGACTTGTTTTTTGTTTGTTTTTTGAGACGGAGTCTCGCTCTGTCGCCAGGCTGGAGTGCAGTGGTGCGTTCTGGGCTCATCGCAACCTCCACCTCCCGAGTTCAAGGGATTCTCCTGCCTCAGCCTCCCAAGTAGCTGGGACTACAGGCGTGAGCTAATTTTTGTGTTTTTGTTTATTTGTTTGTTTTGTTTTATTTTTTGACCGAGTTTCACCCTTGTTGCTCAGCCTGGAGTGCAATGACACAATCTCGGCTCACTGCAACCTCCACCTCCTGGGTTCAAGCAATTCTCCTCCCTCAACCTTTCTAGTAGCTGGCATTACAGGATAGCACCACCATGCCTGGCTTATTTTGCATTTTTAGTAGAGGCGGGGTTTCTCCATGTTGGTCAGGCTGGTTTCAAACCCCCGACCTCAGGTGATCCGCCCGCTTTGGCCTCCTAAAGTACTGGGAATACAGTCTTGAGCCACCGCGCCCCCGCCTCGCTTTGTCACCCAGGCTGGAGTGCAATGGCATGATCTCGGCTCACTGCAACTTCCACCTCCCAGGCTCGAGCAGTTCTCCTGCCTCAGCCTCCCCGGTAACTGAAATAACAGGCACCCGCCACCATGCCCAGCTAATTTTTGTATTTTTTGTAGAGACGGGCTTTCACCATTTTGGCCAGGCTGGTCTCAAACTCCTAACTTCAAGTGATCCTAACCTGCCTCGGCCTCCCAAAGTGTTGGGATTACAGGCGTGAGCCACTGAACCCGGCCATTTTTGTATTTTTAGTGGAGACAGGGTATCACCATGTTTGTCAGGCTGTTCTGAAACTCCTGACTTCAGGTGATCAGCTTGCCCCTTCCTCCCAAAGCGCTGGGATTACAGGTGTGAACCACAGCGCCTGGCTGTTTTTGTATTCGAGACAGAATCTGGCTCTGTCGCCCATTGCATTCCACCACTTCTGAGAGTGCAGTGATGCGATCCTGGCTCACTGCAACCTCCACCTCCTGGTCTCAAGCTGTCCTCCCACCTCAGCCTCCCAAGTAGCTTGGACTACAGGAGCACACCATTACACCCGGCTAATTTTTCTATTTTTTGAAGAGATGGGATTTCACCATATTGGCCAGGCTGGTCTCCAACTCTGAGCTTAAGCGATCCACCTGCCTCAGCCTCCCAAAGTGCTGTGATTAAAGGTATGAGCCACCGCACCTAGCCATCTAGGACAACTTAAATGCTAGTTGTCTGACTTCCTTCCTCCCCTACCCGGCTCTTTTTGGGGGGCTGGGGGTTAGAGCCATATCTCAAGTGGGAGATCACAGTAGCACCTACCTTGGTGCCTGGCAAGGCAGGATATGTAAATGCTGGTAGTTATTGTGAAGTTTCATCATCCACCACTTGAGGGTAACCTGTGCATATTCCAAACCAGACCTAACCCTCCTCTTGGCCTGTGCACCTGCCA